GGAATGATTGACTGCGTCATTGATCATGAGGCTGAACTCAGTCTCCAGCATCTCTTTCCTGCCTAGGCTAATATTTCATGGCTCAAAGCCCTGATACTCCAGTCACATAATTGATCTTTCCAGCATGGCCAGCCCCCATTCTGAGTCACCTGGCTAGCATACATTAGGGTTCCACCATGAAAGATCTTCTTAGAATAAGGTATAAGGGCTTACCATGAAGAATAAAGATGCTCCTACTACTTGGAAAATTCCAAGGATTTAGAGTCTACCTCCTAGGAACTGGGGACAAAGACCAGGCACATTTTTCATTACCAGGTAAACTGCAGCATGATGCAGCATGTGGAAGATACATAAACATGTATAGGTACACCATCAACTTCTCAGAGTTGTGGAACTTTCTCACTCTTCTTTTGTGATAGGCACTGTACCGCACATGACAGGCAACTCATACTAAATCCATATAATATTAGTAAAGCATATTTTCCTTACAATTTTAAGTAAATATATGAGGGAGCATTATTTTTTTGAGGGTGGGTGCCTTGTAGTATTAGCTTCCTCCACTAGGTAAGTGTTCTAGGAACCCATCAGCGTCAGTGTAGCAGCTAGCATTGTTAACAAGAGGCTGCGTTCAACTTCTGTGAATTTTTTTTGGAGATTCTTTCAATGCATTTGTCTATTTCATGATGGGTGATTTACAACCTCCCCACACCGTGCTGAGTGTTCAGCAGCTTCTGACCAAAAATGTCACCACCCTCCTCATTCACTCGATTTCACTCTGTCTTTTTTGGTTTTCCCAAATGAAAAAATCCTCAAAGGGAAACATTTTGTCCATGTGGAAAAGGTGAAACCAAAACTGGCAGAAACTCTAAAAGGCATCAAAAGTAAGAGATTGACAACTGTTGTGAGCAGTGGAAAAAGCATCTCATTAGGTGTATTGTATCAAACGAAGAGTACATTGAAGGCGACTGAAGTTTATATATGTAAGAATAAATACACAAATTTTTATAAATAAATTCCAGGTTTTTAAAAACCTCGTAAGTAGAAGCTGTAGTCGTTTATCTCTGTAGATCTTTCTTCATACAACCTAGGCTACTTTTGTGCCCCATTTTGGAGATCACTGCCCAAGAGACATCTTGACTAAATATTTTAAAAGGAACGAGGGTAGATTGTGCTATTTTCTTCAAATGTTTATATCCTCTTCTGTGCAGGATTAAACTTTGATGCTCTTGACATGTCTTTCTGTAGATAGAATATATTTTCCTCTTCCATTCACAGGTTGATCCAGGTGACTTGCATTGGAAAATAGAGTCAGAATGAATATAATCTACACCTTATCCCAATAGAGGATGCTACTACATGATTCAGCATACAAGGAGCTCTATGACCCTGGCTTCCAGAATAAGAAAACACTTGAAGAAGAGCCGAATAGAGTTACCCTTAACCCTAAGCCCACAAGTAATGAGGAATAATTGTTCATTATTATAAACCACTTGGATTTTGGGGTTGGTTGTGATACACGGTCATGCAGTTATCATGTGACTTATTCCAGAGAGAGAGAAATAACCTTAGGGATGTATTTGGCTTCCTCATTTTGAGCTTAGATTGTAAAGCCTCTAAGAGTTAATGGGGGAGCATGTGTGTGTGCACACCTGTCCATATGCAAGTGCTTGTCAGGTCCAGTAATTAATTGTGCAGAACTTGTAATTCCATCCTTACCTTATCCGTTGTCATATCCATTTTCTTCCCTTACTACATAATTCAATCCTAAATAAATAAATAGATGGAACAGAGCCCACATACCACAGAGGTGTCTGTGGTAGGGTGGGTGGAGGAGCAGAGTGCGCAGGCACAGGGTGTCGGAGCTCAAGCTTTGTGAGAAGGTGACTGTGCAGGGGGTTGGCTTGACAGAGGTCAAGCAGAGTGAGAAGAACATTCCTATGGGGGTGATAAACTGTTCCGGCATGGAGAACCAGAGTCTTGTGTGGTGTGAAGGGTGTCCATGCCTGGCAATGGCTGGTGCAGCACATCAGAGGATAAAAGGATTGAGGAGGGTGCCCACACTAGGGGTTTCCTGGTGTGGGAAGTCAGAGCCCAAGAGATAAAGAGGATAGTTCTGCGGTGGGGTGGTCAGGTGCAGGGAGTTGGAGCTCAGGTAGGTAGAGCATCCATGCACAAGGTCACCTTCTGTAAGAAGACAGAGTCCCAAATGGGTGGGGAGAGTCCTTGTAGAGGAGCAGACTGGTGGGGATGTCAGTATCTGGGAGAGGTGCGGAGGCCACCCATAGGGTTGGTCCAGAGTGGGTTGGGAGCAGGTCCTAGGCAGGATGAGGAAGTGTCTATGCAGAAGGTCTGCCTGGTGTGGGTTTCAGAGACTGAGCAGGAGAAAGTGGATATCTACAACGCGAGATGGTCCAATGAGGGAGTCAGACCCCTCTGGGGTGAGGAGGGCTTCCACCCATGGGGTGATCTTGTAAGGAGGTCTCAGTGGTGGCTGTGGAATCAGCACAAGCAGCGATCAGGTCTTTCCTATGGAGAGTGGCCCAGTACGAGGCGTCAGAACCTTAGAGAGGTGAGGAGGATGTCCATGGGCGGCTGCTGGCTGGCCCAGTGTGAGCACCCCAAGCAGATTGAGGACATCAATGTGGGGAATAGGAGTCTGGGCTGGGGAGTCATAGCCCAGAGAGAAAGGGGCGTCTCAGGGACGGAGGAGTGGCAGCACAGGTGGGAGATTGGTGGATACAGGCGATGGATCAAATAAGTGAGTAAGTGGAAGACAGTTCAGTCAGGTTTCCTGTGGTCACACAGGCAGTTGGGAATGTGGAACGGGGGAAAATGAGAATGAAACGTGGTGTCACATTGGAATGAGAGGTATTGGTGTGAACGCATGGGTTTTATTATATTTAGACAGAGGTATAAATGTAGAAATAAAATAGAAATGCAAGCCAGGCACAACCTATAGTCCCAAATACTCGGGAGACTGAGGCAGGAGGATCCTTGAACCCAGGAGGTGGAGCCTATAATGACCCACAGTCACATTTGTGAATAGCCACTGCACTCCAGCCTTGATGATGGAGTGATACCTTGTCTCTTAAAAAAAAAAATCCGCTGGGCTCGGTGGCTCAGCCTATAATCCCGCGCCTTTGGGAGGTTGAGGTGAGTGGAGTGCCTGAGCCCGCGTGTTCAAGACCCGCCTGGGCAACTTGGCGAGACCTCATCTCTACAATAAATAAAAAAATTAGCCGGGCGTGGTACCACGCGCCTGTAGTTCCAGCTACTGGGAAGGCTGAGGCGGAAGGATCGCCGGAGCCCAGCAGGTCGAGGCTGCGGTGCCGAGAGCGGCAACCGCACTTCAGTCTGGGCGACAGAGTGAGACTCCAACTCAAAGCAAAAACAAAAATAAAAACAAAATCCATCTATCTACCTATCATCTATGTATCTATGTATCTATCTATCATCTATCTAGATGATATATACATATAGACAGATGTATAGTGTGTGTGTGTGTGTGTGTGTGTGTGTGTGTTATGCAGGAGAAGGAGTTAGGTGGGGAAGATTAGAAGATGGAGGATCATTTGGAGAGAGTCGAGGACAAGAGAATCCATGGGTGAGCTGGGAACACGCCAGTGAAAATATTCCACATGAAGGACTTAATATTTGGAGTGTTTTCCTCTTGGCCTTCGGAAAAAGTCATGTTTAGTACTCTATTTCAGTTTATCTCAGGCTCTATAATGTGATTCCGTTGAATTATCCTGTTAAAAAAAAATAGCCATATGTACCTGGATAGACTTTTGCTGAGGTGGTGTTGAGGGTGACAAGGGTACGGGAGTGTGGTATAAAGGCTGGCTCCTCCTCCAGCATCCAATAAAGAGAGCTGCTGTCTGGACTTTTGGAGGTGACTGGCAGCAAATGAATGGAGACTTGGGATGGAGCTGATTCCGAGTAACCAGTCAAAGCAGACGGCACGGAGGAGCAGCTTCAGAAGGCGTAGGCTTCCATCTTTGCCTTCCCTGCCACCGTGGAGGGAACTAAGACAGACAGGCTGATGTGGGAGATTTGTTAATGGTCCTCCTAGAATGTGGTACCAAGAAGTTGCTTGACCAGCTAAAAATGTTATGAGGCGAATGCAAATGTACAAGCATTAGCTCAGGCTGGTTGGTCTCAAGTTATGGTGTTTGCATGTGGAAGGAAGCACATTGTATTTTCACTGGTGAATACAGAGAACCCAGTTCTTGAGAAAGATTTCTCCCATTTCTTGGTTCCTCTTTTTTTTTTTTTTGAGTTGGAATCTCACTCTGTTGTCCAGGCTGGAGTTCAGTGTCACACTGACAGCCACCGCAGCCTTGACCTGCTGGGCTCAGGCAATCCTTCTGCCTCAGCCTTCCAAGTAGCTGGGGCTATAGGCACGCGCCACCGTGCCTGGCTAATTTTTTGATTTATTGTAGAGATGAGGTCTCACCAAGTTGCCCGGGCGGGTCTCGAACCCGTGGGTTCAAGTGGTTCTCTCACCTCAGCCTCCCAAAGTGCCGGGATTATAGGCGTGAGCTACTATGCCTGGCTGCAATACACTTTCTTTTTCTTTTTTTTGAGCTGAAGTCTCACTCTGTTGCCCAGGCTGGAGGGTAGTGGCACGCTACTCATGGCCACCGCAGCCTCGACCCGCTGGGCCCTGGCGATCCTTCCGCCTCGGTTCCTCTTTTCTTCTCCTTCCTATTTTTTTCCATCATATTTCAAGTTCCCACTTTTACAGCACTTGCCAGCGTGTGTTTAAAGATTGTGCTAGTCCTGCGGATTGCACCTTTGTGGCTTCAGTGGCCCCACGTTGTGGTTTTTAGTTTTCATAAGATCCCTCTCAGGGGTACTTGTCTATTTGGGGCCTCTAGCTGTCATTTAGTTGGGAGATAGGAAGTAGACGATTTACCACCATGTCTGCCACTCCTTTATAAGAAGTTTTAAGAAAAGGGAGAAACGGACTTTCTGAAGAAAGCAGGTCTCTTCTCAACATGGCTTCGGAAATCACTTATGCTGAAGTGAGATTCAAAAATGGATCCAAGTCCTTAGGCACCAACTCAGACTCTCCTGCAGGTAAAAACTTTTTTGTTTTCTGTTTTGTGTTGTTTTGAGTCAGAGTCTCACTCTGTTGCCCAGACTGGAGTTCAGAGCCACAGTCATGGCTATCGCAGTCTCTATCTGCTGGGCCCGGGCGATCCTTCCACCTCAGGCTCCCCAGTAGCTTGGACTACAGGTGTGAGACACCATGCCTGGTAAATTTTTTGATTTATTGTAGAGATGAGGTCTTGCCAAGTTGCCCAAGCTGATCTCCTACCCCTGGGCTCAGGCAATCCTCTTACCTTGGCCTCCCAAAGTGCTGGGGTTACAGGCATGAGCCACCATGTCTGGCTTATTTTCTGTTTTCTAGTGGACAGAGTGAGTGATGAGATGACAGATGAGGAGGGGAGGCGTGAGTGATATCAATTGTTGGTTCTCTGAGTAGCAATGTCTGGGAAACACAGGAGGAGTTTCGGAAGCTGAGTTTCCCGCAGAGAAGCAGTAAAGAGTTGTGCAGTTGAATAGTGGGGAAGAAAAGATTTCATGGTGCTGTTTTTTTTTGTTTGTTTGTTTGTTTTGTTTTTTGAGTCGGAGTCTCACTCTGTCGCCCAGACCGGAGTGCAGTGGCCGCTCCTGGCTACCGCAGCCCCGACTTGCTGGGCTCCGGCAATCCTTCCGCCTCAGCCTTCCGAGTACCCGGAATTACAGGCGTGCACTACCATGCCCGGCTAATTTTTTTTTGATTTTAGTGTAGAGATGAGGTCTCGCCTGCCCAGGCGGGTCTCGAACCCGCGGACTCAGGCAATCCACTCACCTCAGCCTCCCAAAGGTGCGGGATTACAGGCTGAGCCACCGAGCCCGGCTCCATGGTGCTGTTTTTAACTCTGCTGATTATAACAGAATTGAGCTATGAAAAAGCAACTGCACTCGTGAGCTAAGGCGAGTGCTCTGGTACACATGTGTTTTCTGAGGCTGGATGAGGTTGGGGTTAAGAGATTGAGTTCAACCTCTGATCCTCTCAGCCAGATGCAGGGGTTCCTGATGCATTTGTGGGATCTGTTTTTTGATCACTTTAAGGGGAAGAGTTTGGGCAGAGAGTGATGAGGGTGTATTGGTTAGTACTGGATGGAAATTGTACAGCAACAACAAAAAACCATTGCCAATACAAGACTAGAAATGAACTGACTCAGAAACAGGAAACCAAACACCACATGTTCTCACTCAGATGTTGTCACATATGGTCACAAAGATGGGGACACAAATTGGGGGGAGGGGGACGGGGATTAGGGTTCAGAAACCACCTACAGGGCACAATGTTCACTATCTGGGGTATGGGCCACCTGAGATGCAATCTCCCCTACTACACAATATGTCCATGTAATGAACATGCACATGTACCCTCCAGAATTGAAAGTAAAAAAAGAAAGTCTTACGCAGAAAGTCCCATAAACCTCCAGAAAAATTTTTCTGAAATCAGAAGTCGATTGCATGTTGCATTTGTGAGACAGACTCAATTACGTTTGGAAGTACGCAAAATGTCCTAGAGGCCATGTGTGACATCTCTGGTACAGAACAAAAGGCAGGAAAACACATACGCAATGTGCAAGAAACTATGGAGAGAGGAGGCAGGATTGCCTTTATGTTCTAAAATGCCTCTTGGAGTTGTGAAGGGAACTTAGGAAAACTGTTTTCCCCCCTTAAAAACTTTATATAATTTTTTAATTATACAAGTAGTTATTTTCATTAGAAAAAAATTAAAGAGGTGCACAGAAATTTACATAATATTTGCACTCACCATCTAGAAAAAAACCATAATTGACATTTTAGTGTGTATCTTTCCACCTATAAATATACATAAATGTTTATATGCATTTTTTCTAAAAATACAATTATACTAGGTAATACTAAGATCCCCCCTCACTTGACCATATATCATAGTTTTAAGAAAATGATTCCTAACCACGAGATGGTGACTAAAAAGACTGACCTTATTTTGAACATGTGATGAAGGGTTATTATAAAGATTAATTTGTTTCAGCATTATTTAAAGCAAAGTTGGAAGCAATGGGGAAGATTACACATATAGCGAAATACTATGCAACCATAATAGTGTTAAAGAGGAAAACATGGTAACATGAAAAATATTCATGATAATATGTAAAAAATAGTAGGTCAGAAATCAGTATTTATGGTGTTTTAATCATGTGCATATACTCATATACATTAAAAATATATAACAAAATATTAACAACAGTTATCCTTCATGGTAGGGATGTATTTTCTAAAGTTTCTACATTGGACATTATTATTTCCTTTCTAATTCTATTCTCATAGTGTTTCGAATGCCATACCATATTTCTTTCTTTTTTTTAAGCCATATTTTTTATTTTAAAATTGTGGGGTACAGTTAAGGGTTAGGTATACAAATATGCATCGTTCAGGCACCCTTGTTGATAAGGGGTGTCCCCAGACAGATATTGACTACCATGAATCCCACCACGCTTGCCCTCCCTGTCCCGCCCCCGTAGATTCCCACCACTGTCGATCCTTTTCTTATAGTATTACCATACCATATTTCAAATGACCATAGTAACTGTGTGTCATTAAAGAAAAGGGAAAAGAGGAGGAGGTGGAGGAAGAGGACGCATGGACAGCATTTATTCCTGATAAAACTAATTTGGCTTCTTCTTCAGCTCCCAAGGAGAGGACCATCCTTCACAAAAGTAATCCTGGTTTTTCCAAGCTGCTGTGTGCCTCACTGCTGATACTCTTCCTGCTATTGGCAATCTCATTCTTTATTGCTTTTATCAGTAAGTATGCCAACTGAATCAAGAAGCAATGTCTGTTGTATATGAGGAGAAAGGTATGCATTAAAAATTGACATTTAAAAAGGGGCTTATCGAGAAATTTGAGATACGGTTTTCTCTGGGAGACACAATTCACGAGAATCCACTGGGAATTTTGCTCTTTATTTTGATTTAATTACTGTCCTATAAAAGTACTGGAATTCATTCTCATTAGAGAAATTGAAGAATAAATGTGTGTGTGTTTGTATTGTAGAGTGAAATTTTTTTGACATCAGCTCCATACTAGACATTTTGTGAGGACATATCTATATTTCCTTCACAGCATTTATAAGGCCAGTCTTATTTGAATGCACAGACAGTTATATTTTGGGATGAGCAGGTGGACAAGAAGGAGATGGGAAGAAATACTTCAGAAAGAGTTCTTCATGAACTTTCACTCTAGTTATTTTCATCCTACCCGACTGTATGAGATCTAAAACCCAACTTAACAAAATAGGTGGACTGCTGCATATCATTGCCTTTCTGAATTGTTCAATTTTTTAAAAGGCATAGCAACCAGTATACATTTGGGTAGATACTGTATTAATTCATTTGGTCATTCAGTAAGTAGTAATGACTATTTCCTGTATGTCAGGTATTGTGCCAGACAGGTTCAGATAACCATAGCCTCTGGTCTCAATAAACTTAGAGAACAGTCAAATGAACCAGAGGTTACAACATTGTACAGGAAGTGTTATGTAGGTAAGAAGTAAACACAGAGCCCCGGGTGTGGCGACTCACTTTGGGAGGTAAAGGCAAGTGGATTCCTTGAGTCCACGAGTTTGAGACCAGTCTGGGCAACTTGGCGAGACCTTGTCTCTGCAATAAATAAAAAAATTAGCTGGGCATGGTGGTATGCGCTTGTGATTTGAGCTACTTAGAAGGCTGAGGTGGAAATGTCACCTGAGTTCAGTAGGTTGAGGCTGCAGTGGCCGTGAGCATGCCTCTGCACTCCAGCCTGGGTGACAGAGTGGAACTCATACTCAGAAAGAAAAAAAAAAAAGAAGTAAGTACAGGAGACTGACACAGACTTTCTCAGAGATATGTGTACCAAAAATGGCATAGAGATAGAGATATAAGAAAGCATGGAATTTGGGTAAGAATAACACATGACTGGAACATATGGTACTAAGTGAATAAGATATGAAGTTATAGGTAGGGGAAATAAACAGAATTCAGATCATGAAAAATGCTGTATACCACCAAAAAAAGCTTGGATTTTTTTTCCCCCGAAAGGTTATTTTATCAGTTACCTTTTGCTGTTTGGTAAGCCAATCTAAAACGTAATGGGTTAAAATGGCAACTATTTATTTAGCTCATAATTCTGTGGTTGGGTCATTTAGATTGGTGTTAGCTGGTTTCTTCAGCCCTGGCTGAACTCACACATGCATATGTGTTGGAAACCAGTCACCGGCTTCAGAGGAAGAGGATGTTAGCTGGAATGACAGGAGAAATTTGGCCGCATTTCTCTTATCATTCAACAGGCTAGCCTGGCTTGTTCACAGGGCAACTGGCAGACTTCCAAGACTAGGAGCTGATAGAAAAGGCCTCTTGAAGTCTCAACTTAGAACTAGCTTCCTTACATTCTATTGCCCAGAGAAAGTCTTAAAAGCAGTCCCAATTCAAGTGATGGAGAAACAGACCTTATTTTTTGACTGGAGACGCTGCAAAGTCACATTGCAAAGGGGTGTGGATACAAAGGCTGAAAATTGTGGCCATTTTTGCCATGTGTCACAGTCATGGAGAGACACTGAAGGATTTTAAGTAGGGAATTCATCTAATCAAAATTGACTTATAGAAATATGCTTTTTACAGATGTATGGATATATGAGGTCAAAACTGAAGACCAAGAGACAAGTTGGAAGGTGCATTCATTAATTTAGTTGAGAAATAATTGAGAGCTTGGTCCAAGGCTAGTGTTAATGAAAAAAGAGAAGAGAGGGTATCTTTGAATGATCAAGGAGGTAGGGGCTTGAGAAGTAAAGTGTGGCTCCATCATTCTGACCTGGTAAACTCAAAAATCATGACGTTTTTCGAAGAGGCAGATGATATAGGATGAGTCGTAGGTTTGGGTTGGAAGATGGTGATTTACGTTTTGGGCATACTGAGTTTCATATGTCTGTGGGAACCTCAAATGGATGTGTTTAGTTGGAGACACATTTGTCTGAATTTCAGGAGAGAGGTCTGAGCTTTGAAGATGGTTCACAGAGAGGTTGCAGGTGATGGCATGGGAATACATGATATTCCTTAGGAAGATAATTTAGTATGAGAAGGAGCACTAGAATAGAACTCTGGGAAACGTCACATGTTAAAAGAGGTAGATGGAGGAAAAGGAACTTAGAAAAGAAATGGCAGCAAGAAAGGTAAGGCAAAACCAGTATAGAGTAGTGTCCCAAAAGCGAAGGGGAAGAGAGCTGAGGTTAAGTATTGCAGGAAGTCAAACAGGAAGACAGCTAGTAAGTAGCCCTAGGATATCACTCAGGATCCATTTCAGGGATGGTTTTAGCATAGTGAAAGCAAAGCCAGAAGGCGATGGGTCAAGGAGTAGAAGAAAGGTAAGGAGAAAAGTGAAAAAAATCTGTTTCCAGAAGGAGAAATTAAATTAATTAATTTAGTTTTAAATTAGGAAGGAAATGAGTGTGTTGGTGTCCTGAGGAGTGGGAGTGAAGTTTTTTTTGCTTTTTTTTTTTTTTGAGTTGGAGTCTCACTCTGTCGCCCAGACTGGAGGGCAGTGGCTGCTCCCGGCCACCACAGCCTCGACCTGCTGGGCTCTGGCGATCCTTCCGCTCAGCCTTCCAAGTAGCTGAAACTACAGGCGCGCGCTACCACGGCCGGCTAATTTTTGATTTCTTATAGAGATGAGGTCTCGCCAAGTTGCCCTGGCGGGTCTCGAACTCGCGGGCTCAGGCAATCCACTCACCTCAGCCTCCCAAAGGTGTGAGATTACAGGCTGAGCCACCAAGCCCGGCTGGGAGTGAAGCTGTAATGAGAATCAAAAAAAGAAGAGGAAGGAAATAATGTTCTCTTGATCCATATGTTAAGTTCTTTTTTAAAATTCTCCTTCTCCAAGGTAACACAGAAGTCCTCAGAATTAGCTAATTCTCCCCACCTAGCAAAGTCTCAAGCTATGTACATCCTTTTTCTTTTAAAGATGTGGGGTATAAGTCAGGATTGGGTACATAAGTGGTCTAGGTGTATGTACATCCTTAAATATAAGTGTTTATCTATCCTCCTCTCCCCCTTCCCCTAGAGTGATCCTTTGCAGACGTCTTACATTAAGTATTGAAGGAGAATATGAAGTCCCTTTAGATCCATTATGATAAAACTGTCATGTCCTCTTTCAACTACTCATCTTTCAGCTATTCCTGGAGATATTTCTGGCCTCAGAATGGGAAATCTTTGAGTCAGGGCTTGTCTACTCAAGTAATTGGGCATTTGCAGTTTTCGTTTCTATAAAGAATGCAAGACAGTAACAATAAAGAGCAAAATCTGAATGCTACCAGAAAATGAATAGTCTTTATTCTTTTTTTTCCAGTTTTCTTTCAAAAACACTCTCAGTTTATTGAAGGAAAAAAGACTACAAAAGAGTCGATTCATACAAAATTGGTGTGTGAGAAAGAAAATGTGACCACAGAAGGTAAAAATTCAGTGGTTGACTACATTATATAAGGATCTGAAATCACTATTTCCAATAGGATTCCCAGGTAGATCTTACTAAGATGTTGATCTCATGACCATTTTAAACTACAAGTGTGCAAATACATTGGACATAACATTCTTTTTTTTTATTTTTTGAGTTGGAGTCTCACTCGGTCGCCCAGACTGGAGTGCAGTGGCCGCTCCCGGCCACCGCAGCCTCGATCTGCTGGGGCTCCGGCAATCCTTCCGCCTCAGCCTTCCAGGTAACTGGAATTACAGGCGTGCGCTACCATGCCCGGCTAATTTTTTGATTTATTGTAGAGATGAGGTCTTACCAAGTTGCCCAGGTGAGTCTCGAACCCGCGGGCTCAGGCAATCCACTCACCTCAGCCTCCCAAGGTGTGGGATTACAGGCTGAGCCACCTAGCCCGGCTGGACATAACATTCTAACGTGTACTTGTATATATGTACTTTGTGGAAAAAATCAAAGGTTTAATTTTTAGATTGTTTTGGTCTTTGGTTCTTTCTAAACTTCCCATGTACACGTCCTCTTTTGCTTACATAATTAAAACCATTTGATGAAAATGATGATGATTTTATTATGTATGTGAATTAGCTAAATTTTAAAATTAATAGATTATTTTTAAGAATGGCTTTATATTTACAGAAAAACAGAAGATAATACAAAAAAGTCCTATTTTACCCCTGCTCTGCACACACAGTATTTTCTATTATTAATATTTCACAGAGGTATGGTAGCTTTATTATAATTAATGAGCCAATATTGACATATTAATTGAAGCTCACAATTTTTTTTTCAGATTTCCTTAGTTTTCACCTAATTTTTTTTTCTGTAACAGGACAGCACGTTACATCGAGTTGTCCTGTCTCTCTAGGTATCTCTGGCTTGTGATAGTTTCTTAGACTTTGTGTTTGATGACCTTGAAAGTTTTGAGGACTACTGGGTGGGTGTACTACAGGATGTTCCTCTATTAGAATTTGTTTGATGCTTTTCTAATACTTAGACTTGAGGCTACTGGTTTTGAGAGGAAGATCACAAATGTAAAATGCTATTTTATCACATCGTGTCTAGGGTTTATACTATCAAAATGATTTTTGACTAATAACATTGGCCTTGATCTGGCTAAGACAGTGTTTGTCAGGTTTCTCCACTGAAAGGTTACTGTTTTTTTCTCTCCTTTCCATACTTTTTGGAAGGAAGTTGAAAGGCACAGCCTACACTTAAGGACTGAGGGGTTGTGTTCCCCCGCCATTATGGTGGAGTTTTGTATTAACCAGGAATTTTCCAGAGAAACAGAACCAATAGAAGTATATGTAGGAAGATATTCATTTTTTTTTTGTTGAAAATTTTAGAGTTTTATTGATTTTACTTATTTTTTACTTATTTGATTTACCCCTAATCTTCATGAATACATTGATTAAAAATAGATACAGAACTTATTTGAAAATACAAGATAGAAGATTAGTGTGAGAACAAATATGGGTGGCCCAGTTGTGTTCTCTCCTGGGAATGTCTCGATATCCTTTTTCACTCTGAGGGTCAGGCATTTTGTCAGAATAGAAAACTCCAATCAAATTTACTTTTGATATTGGTGGAAGCACAGGCAGGAAGTATTTGAAAGCTTACCCCCGAACTAACATTCCTGAATCCCCTCTCTGTTTCCTGGGTCTACGTTCTTCTTTTTTTTTTTGAGTCGGAGTCTCACTCTGTTGCCCAGCCTGGAGGGCAGTGGCTGCTCCCGGCCACCGCAGCCTCGACCCGCTGGGCTCCGGCGATCCTCCCGCCTCAGCCTTCCGAGTAGCTGGAACTCCAGGCCCGTGCTATCACGCCGGCTAGAAGATATTCATTTTGAAGGAATTGGCTCATGCCATTGTGGAGGCTTGAGAAATCAAAATCTGTGGAGGGCAGCCAGCAGGCTGGAGACTCAGGACTAAGAGCTGGAGTTGGAGACTAAGAGTCTGTTGAACAATTCCCTGTTGCTCAGAGGGGCCATCTTTTTGTTCTCTTCAGATCTTCAGCTGATTGAATGAAGCCCACTTACAACATGGAAGGCAATCTTCTTTTTAAACTCAACTTACATGTCAATCTCATCTAGAAACATTCAGAATGTTTGACCAAATATCTGGGCACTGTGGCACAGACAAGTGACATATAAAATTAACCACTTCAAGATCCATATAATTTATTTGAAATTCTTGTGCATGTCAGATTTGTCTCTTTATCCCATATATTAACTTATCTAATCATTTATTTATATCTGCATGTACTCATGGATGTTTGTTTTAAATTTTGGATTATTATCCATCCCTACTTTAGTTATTTTGTTTTCCCAGCTCTGGCCATTGAGAACTCTTTCAGTTGACTCCTGTGACCCTTTTGAAATATCACCATCGGCTGGGCTCAGTGGCTCAGCCTGTAATCCCGCGCCTTTGGGAGGCCGAGGTGAGTGAATTGCCTGAGCCTGGGGGCTTGAGACCCGCCTGGGCAACTCGGCGAGACCTCATCTCTACAATAAATCAAAAATTCAGCCGGGCGTGGTAGCGCGCACCTGTGGTTCCAGCTACTGTAAGTCGGAGGCGGAAGGATCACCGGAGCCCAGCGGGTCGAGGCTGCGGTGGCGGCCACTGCACTCCAGTCTGGGCGACAGAGTGAGACTCCAACTCAAAAAAAAAAAAAAAAAAAAGGAAATATCACCATCAACGTGCTTGTTTTCTAGCACTTCCTTGCTTTCTGGGGGTACAAAATGCTTTAGACACATATTGCACATTTCATGTTCCTATCCTAGAGTTAGATATTTCTTTGAGGAACCCTAGTTCCTTGTATTGTAGAATAATGTCCTAAAATTTTTGATAATTTGTATTTTCATTCTCATTTGATTCAATGTGTGTTTTAAAATTTCCCTTGAGACTTCTTTGGTCCATGGATTATTCAGGAGTGTGTTGTTTAGTTTCAAGTATTTGGCGATTTTTTTCTCTTTTCTTTCTTTTATTAATTGCTGGTTTGTTTTCATTGTGGTTGGGAAACACTCTCTATAAGATTTAAATGATCTCAAATTTGTTGAGGTTTGTTTCATGTCCTAGAATATGGTTTATCTTGGTATATGTTCCAGGTGCACTTGAAAAGAATGGGTATAGTAAATCCAAGTGCACGTTCATAAGTCCAATTTGTTTGTAAGTCCAACAGAGTTAGCCTAGGTTCCCAACTAACACAGTGGCTATATAGAACCAGCTATAACACCACTGCTTTTACACTTGATTCTGGATATCCTGGGCTTGAAATAAAGATACTGTACTACTGTACTAAATGCAGTACTGTACAGTAAGGTATGCAAAAGCACAGCCACTTGTAGAGGATACACACAAGACAATATATGCCAGGCACATGAACTAACTTACATGATTGGAGAAGCAAGCACATGTTCACAACTTTGAAAGTTTGCAACTTGAAGTTCATATGTTGGGGACTTTCTTCTGTCTATTTTGTCTCTGTTGTTCAGTTGGCAGTTTCTTTTGTTATATCTTCTAGCTCACAAATTTCTTTGTCTCCTTTGTTGTGCTGTTGAGTCTATCCACCAATGTTTTTATTTTGGTTATTGTATTTTTCGATTATAAAATTTCCCATTTGATTCTTCTTTATGTCTTCTATTTCTGTTTCTCCTTTATATTTTTTATTTCGATGCTGAAGCTTCCTATTTTTTCATTTGTTTTAAGCATGTTTGCATCGTCTTGTTGAAGCATTTTTATTATGGCTGCTTTAAAAATTTTGTCAGATAATTCTGACATTTTTGTTATCTTTATTGTTGGTGTCTGTTGATGATCATTTTTAAATTAAGTTTGAGAACTTCTTGGTTCTTCGTATATGACTGATTTTCTATTGAACACTGGGCATTTTTGCATTATGTTTCCAGAGTGAAAATCTTATTTAAGCATTTTGTTTTAGTTGACCATTTTAGATAGCACTTCAGCAGGAGAAAAGAGGCTAAGTTTTCTTAACACTTGAGGGGTAGAGGATCCTTGTTACATCTGGTTGGGGATGGGAGTTCCAGTTTCCATGGGGTCTCCCTTGGTTCTTAATTTTAATAATGGACACTTTAAAAAGTGATTCCTTATATTGTACTTATCTGCCCCTTTTCCCAATACAGAGAAAGTCTGGAGCTGCTGCCCAGTGAATTGGAAGCCATTTAGTTCTAGCTGCTACTTTATTTCAACTGCACCAAAACCTTGGAGTGAGAGTGAGAAGAACTGCTCTAGAATGGAGGCTCACCTGCTGGTGATTAACACCGAGGGTGAACAGGTACTTTCTAATAAATAGTGGCGTCGAGGGCCCTTCCAGCTCCTGGTGTACCTCTCTTGGCTAGGAAGGAGGTTTTTGTTATTTGGGGATATTTATGCTGTGATAGAAGCTTTCAATAACATGGGGATATTTATGCTGTGATAGAAGCTTTCAATAACATAGATAGAAAAGGCCCATAAGACTACATTCCATACCTTCTTCCTGCTTCAGTAAAACTAACCTCTCAAAAGAAACCGTGGCATTAAAAAATATAACATACGGGGGTAGAGTGGAAGGATGAAAATGTTTCAGCCTGAAATATCAGTTTGTTATTTTAACATATAAAAGTTTTATACATTATTAACTACTTAACAGAGAAGAGGTATTAAGCTGAATAGGGAAATAAAATTAAATCATGGCTCACAATAAAAAATCAGAAACAAAATGAAAGAATCTCTGAAGTTATGAAAAAATGATTAAATCTGACGAGATGTTCTCATGCACAACTTTGAAGAATGGCATATCCTGGTGAAAATGAAAGGGGGAGTGAGTCTGAGATAAGAATTCATTATGATCGTAGATAGAAATTGCTTCCATATGGACTGAACATTGTGCTCACAAGTGATGTCTTCGACCCTGCCCTTCTCGGCCAGAGAAGACCTGCGCTTCCAGGAGAGGTCCCCATGGGCTGTTCCTGGATCTTCTCCTTTTCTTCTAATTTTCCCAAGGTCCTAAAGGATTCAGGTCAAGCTGAGTACGCTAAAGGCTGCCACTGATTCTCTTCTTCCCCCAGGATTTCATCATCCAGCATCTGAAAACAAATTTTGCTTATTTTGTGGGACTGTCAGATCCAGAGGGTCAGAATCACTGGCAATGGGTTGATCAGACACCATACAACAAAAATCTCACGTGAGTATAGAAAAAAATAAAGGAATCCTGGATCCTGGATCATGCAGGGAGTTCAGGGTGTTCTAGCTTTCAACTATAAAACTAAAATAGCTCACTCTCCTTTTAACTCTTGAGCACTGGGTTAAATAATTCTATCTCATTTAATTATCACAAGAACCCCATGAAGCACACATTATTTTCTTTCCCACTATAGAGATGAGGAAATTAGCTTGGAGAATGTGGATAGTTAGCTAAGGTCACCGAACAGTGTTATCAATAGTTCTTTTTTTTTTTTTTTTTTTTTGAGTTGGAGTCTCACTCTGTCGCCCAGACTGGAGTGCAGTGGCCGCTCCCGGCCACTGCAGCCTCGACCTGCTGGGCTCCGGCGATCCTTCCGCCTCAGCCTTCCGAGTACCTGGAACTACAGGCGCGTACTACCACGCCTGGCTAATTTTTTGATTTTTTGTAGAGTTGAGGTCTCACCAAGTGGCCCAGGTGGGTTTCGAACTCGCGGGCTTAGGCAATCCACTTACCTCAGCCTCCCAAAGGCGCGGGATTACAAGCTGAGCCACCGAGCCTGGCTTCATCAATAGTTCTTAAATTCAGGTGGATTTTGCTGTGCTTTTAAACACTATATTTCTATCTCTCTATATAGTAAAAATGAATGCTGATTAAGATAACCAATTGTTAAGATTTAATATTTCTCATAAAGCAAAGATGCTAAATCTGATAGTCTTATACTATTTCATATTTACTCAATTCTTTAAAACTCAAGTATTTTAATACATCACCTCCTTTGATCCTCATATCTACTGTGTGAAACATATAGTAATATTATTCTAGTCTCCATTTTTTTTTCGAGTTGGAGTCTCACTCTGTTGCCCAGGCTGGAGTGTAGTGGCATGCTCAAGCCACTGCAGCCTCTGCCTACTGGGCTCAGATAATTCTTCCACCTTAGTCTTCCAAGTAACTGAAACTACAGGCATGTGCCCCCATGCCTGACTAATTTTTTGATTTATTGTAGAGATGAGGTCTCGCCAAGTTGTCTAGGTTGGTCTCGAACCCGTGGGCTCAGATAATTCTCTCACCTCAGCCTCCCACAGTGCTGGGATTAAAGACGTGAGCCACCACACTCTGCCTAATCTCCATTTTTTAGATAGAAAAGCTGAGAATCAGAGAAATAAAATTATTTAATTATTTGTACAGGGTGACAGGAATAAGTAGATACAGAGATTTAGTTCTTCAGATTCTAAAAACAGTGCATTAAAAAAAAGAAAAGAAATAACTCGTGATAAATGAGGCCAGGGTAAAATCTTCTTCTCACGTAAAGATGCCATACAGTCCTCTGGGAACAGGACATAAGGATGGACAAATAGAAGAAGACCTCTGGGGTAGCCGCTGTGAGGATATTGCTTTTTAAAAAATTATTTATTTACTTATTTATTAACTTTTACTTTTTTATTTTAAAGATGTGAGGTTATATATATACATTTTAGAGACAAAGTCTCATCAAGTTCCCAGGCTAGTCTCCAACCCCTGGGCTCAGGCAGTCCTCTCGCCTTGGCCTCCCAGTGCTAGGATCACAGGCTTGAGCCACCACACCCAGCTGAGGATATTTCAAGCAGTAAGATGGAGAATACTGAATGAGGTGGGCACAGTTTTCAAGGGAACTACCAGGGATGCAAGCAGAGGAGAAAATGCATGATGAGTGACAAGGGGTTGATTTGGGACATATTTGACCATGACTTCCATGACATTCATTCACAGCCCATCACCCTCTTACTGTCTCTGACCCTTTTCAAAGCACTGTTTGAAGAAGTACCTTCATCCTTTTTCTCCCTTTCAGATTCTGGCATCGATGGGAGCCCAGTAATTCCGCGGAACGTTGCGTTATGCTAAATTACCGTGGGGTGCCCAGGAAATGGGGGTGGAATGATATTCGTTGTTCTGATGAACAAGGTTCAGTTTGTGAGATGATGAAGATACACTTGTGAGTTAAACATTCTTCACAGCGGTTGAATTGGCATCTATCGTTATAGAGCTAGATAACAAGTTCTTATTTATGTGTGAGGGAGGGCCATACATTCAGGTAGGTTGTCAACTAGTCCACTCTTAAGAGAATTGGACCACACATCTCTTTATTCACTTAACTCATAAAATGAACATTTGTTGAGCATTTTTCATATGTTAGAGATTATACTGGAGTTATTTCTTTTGTGCACGTATGGAGACAACATGAGCCTCTCTCTTAATTTTTGTCTGACTGCTAAGGGATGATATACCAATTAAAATTATATGATGTGGTTTCTCTACCTGCCTGGTTATCTCTCTTTCCCATTAGCTTATTGGTGTATAACTGACAAATAAAACTGTTTTCTTTTCAAGGTGTATAACATGGTGATTTGATATACATACACATTGTGAAATGATTACCACGACCGAGTTAGTTAATACATCCATCACCTTACAGAGTTATTGCTTTTTTGTGAAACAAATTTCAAGTATGCAATATAGCATTATTAGTTATAGTCACCATGCTGTACGATAGATCTCTAGAACTTATCTTAGAACTGAAAGTTTGTACCCTTTGACCAATATTGACCCATTTTTTCCACCCTCCCAACTCCTGGCAACCACCATTTACTCTCTTTCTATGATTTGACTTAAAAAAAATATTTCAGGGTACTATCTTTATTACTTTATTTTATGAAGATATTATCTAAAATAGTTACACATCCAGTAATCTAATAATTTATCTTGAAGACTGAAAGTGCTATAGTTCATAGACCTGTGTTCATCTACCTTGCATTTACCAGAGCATTTTTGTTCTCCCCATAAGCTAAATTGCTAGACCTTTCATTAAATACTAAAGTTTTTATTTTTACTATGATTTTTTAAACTTTTATTTTTTTTAAATTTTAAAGATGTTGGGTACAGTTCAGGGTTAGGTATACAAATGTTCATTATGCAGATAACTTTGTTGATGAGGTGTGCTTCTCCTTCCTCAGGCAGATTCCCACTACTGCCAATCCCACTTTCCTGTCCCTCTCCTGGCAGTTTCCTGCTACTGCCAATCCTTTTCTTATAGTATTACAATAATTGTTCAAGGTCTGCTTATGAGTGAGAATATGTGATACTCAGTTCTTTGTTTCTGTGAACAATCACTCAGTATTATAGACTCTAAATCCATCCAGGTTGCTGTGAAGTTCATGATTTTGTTCTTCTTTATGGCTGTGTAATATTCCATTGTATACATGTATCACATTTTAAAAATTCAGTCCTCTTTTGATGGGTAGCACGATTAGTTCCATGTTCTTGCTACTGTGAACAATGCGGCGATAAACATATGTGTGCAGTATCTTTTTCATAGAGTGATTTGAGTTCTTCCGGGTATATTCCAGTAGGGGGATTGCGGGGTCACATGGAGGGTCGATTTTTAGATCTTTTAGGAATCGCCACACTTTTTTCCACAGAGGTTGTACTAGTTTACATTTCCACCAACAGTGTAGAAGTGCTCCCTTTTTGTCACATCCTCTCCAGCATCTGTTGTTTTTGAGTTATTGATGATGGCCACCCTGACTGGAGTTAGGTGGTATCTCCATCCTAATCAATTCTCAATGTGGTTTTAATTTGCATTTCTTAGATGACTGGTGAGGCTGAGTATTTTTTCATGCATCTGTTGGCTGCTTGTACATCTTCTTTTGAGGTGTCTATTCCTATCTTTTGTCCACTTTGTAAAGGGGCTGTTTGTTTTTTTCTTTTCAGCACATCTGAGTTCCTTGTAGATCCTAGATGTTAGGCCTTTGTCAGATATACAGTTGGCAAATATTTTTTCCCAGTCTTGGACTTTCTCTCTGCTCTCTCAATGGTTTCTTTTGCTTTGCAGAAGTGTGTCAGTTTGATGAGGTCCCATTTGTCTATCTTATTTTTTATGGTATGAGCACTTCGTGTTTTGATCAGAAATTAGTTGCCAGTTCCAATTTCCATAAGGGTGTCACCTGCATTTTCTATGGTTCTTTTAGTTTGAGGTTTTACATTTATGTCTTTGATACATTTAGAATTGGTTTTTGTGTATGGTGATAGGTAGGGTCCTCTTTCAATCTTCTGCATGTGGTCAGCCAGTTTTCCCAGCACCATTTACTGAATAGGTTATCCTCTCCATAGTGGTTTATGGTAGAGGCTTTGTCAAAGATGAGTTGATTGAGAAATTGGTATTTTGTTTTTGGAATATCTATCCTGTTCCATTGGTCTATATGCCTATTTTTGTACAAATACTAGGCTGTTTTGATTATTGTAGGTATAATAAAGCTTAAATTTTTGCTGAGAATTTTTTTTGACTATTCATGGTCCTTTATGTTTCCATGTGAATTCCTGTATTGTTGTTTCTAGGTCGAAGAAGAATGCTGTTGGTAATTCAATAGGTATTTTGTTAAATCTCAACAATGTTAATTCTTCCAATCCATGAGCATGGAATATTTTTCCATTTGTTTGTGTCATCTTTGATTTCTTTGATCAGTGTTTTGTAGTTTTCATTGTGAAGTTCTTTTACTTCTCTGGTTTGGAAGATGCCAAGGTATTTCATTTTTGGTGTTACTATTGAGAATGGGATTGTGCTTTTCATTTGGGTTTCTGTTTGTTTATTGTTGGTGTAGAAATATGACTGACTTTTGAACATTTATTATATACTAAAGTCCTTTACCAGTGCAAGGAGGCTTTTGACAGATTTTCTTGGGTTTTTGAGATATAGAATCTTGTCATCTGCAAGAGGGATAACTAACTTATTTCCTATTTGTATACCCCTGATTTTCTTATTATGATACCTCTGATTTTCTTCTTTTATCTGATTGCTTTAGCTAGGACTTCTAATACTGTGCTGAACAGGAGGGGTGAGAGTGGGCATCCTTGTCTTGTTTCAGTTTTCAGGGAAAATGGTTCTACTTTCTGTCTGTTTTGCAGTATGTTGGCTATGGGTTTCTCAGAGATGCCTCTTACTATTTTGAGGTATGTTCTATCTATGCCTAGATGTTCAGGAGTTTTATCAAGAAGGGATGCTGGATTTTATCAAAAGTTTTTTCTGCATCTAATGATATGATCATTTGGTTTTTGTCTTTACATCTGTTGATGCATTTAATTACATTTATGGTCTTGTGGATGTTGAACCAGCCTTGCATTTCAGGGACGAAGCCTACTTGGTCATGCTGGATGATTTTTGAGATGTGTTGTTGGATGCGGTTTGCTAGAATCTTGTTGAGAATTTTAGCATCTACGTTCATCAAGGATATTGGCCTGTATTATCCTTCTTTGTTGGATCTTTCCCCGGTTTGAGTATCAACGTGATGTTAGTTTCATAAAATGATTTGGAGAGAGTTCCAAGTTCCATCTTTTTCAATTGCCTGGAATACTTTCAATAGTATTTGTGTCAGCTCTCCCTTGTATATTTTGTAGAATTCTGCTGGAAAGCCATCTGATCCAGGAATTTTTTTTTTGGTAGGTAATTTTCTTATGACATAGTTGATTTCCTGGGTTGTTATTGTTCTATTTACTGTTATTCTAGTTTCAACCTTGGAGGGTTGCATAATGTCAGAAAGTCCTCCATTTTATTTAGGTCTTCAAGTTTGTTTCCATACAGGTATACATTGTAATTTCTGATAATCTTTCGTATTTCTTTGGGTTCAGTTGTAACTTTATCTTTTGTAATTCTGATTGTGTTTATTGGAAATTTTTCTCTCTTTTTCTTGGTCAGTATAACTAGGGGTCCATCAATTTTGTTTATCCTTTCAAAAAAACTGTTTTTGGTTTCATTGATTTTTTTGTATTTTTTTTTTTTTTTTTGTCTTTCATGTACTGAATTTGGGCTTTTATTTTGGTGATCTGGATTCTTCTGCTGAAATTAGGCTTTTGGTGGTCTTGCTTTTCCAGCTTCCTTAGGTGATTTGTTAGACTGTTAACTTGTGATCTTTCCATTTTCTTCATGTGTTTTCATAGAGATATGAATTTCCCTCTTAGGACTGTTTTCATTGTATCCCAAAGATTTTGGTAAGATGTTTCTTTGTTTTCCTTTGTGTGTTTTGGAGAAACTTTGTTGCTGTTGATATTTATTTTTATTTCCCTGTGGTCTAAGAAGGTGCATGGCAGAATTTCAATCATATGGAATTTGTTTGTGCTTGATTTATGGCTGAGGATGTGGTCAGAGTGCACTCCATGTGGTGATGAGTAGAATGTATATTCTGTGGTTGTTGGGTGGAGTGTTCTGTAGGTATCAAGTCCATTTGGTCAAGCATCACATTGAGGTTCCAGATCTCCTTGTTGACTTTTTGCCTTGATGATCTGTCTAGGGTTGTAAGTGGTATGTTTAAGTCTCCAGGAATGATAGTGTTAGAGTCAATATTTTTTTTTAGTTTACCTAGAAACTGCTTTATGAAAGTTGGTGCTCCTATTTTGAGTGCATACATGTTTAGGATGGATATTTCTTGTTGATGGATTGAACCTTTTATCATATGTAGTGAACTTCCATATCTTTTAAAATTTTTGATAGGTTAAAGGTTGTTTTGTCTCATATTAATATTGTGACTTCTGCTGTCTTTTGTGTTCCGTTTATCTGTAATTTTGTTTTCCATCCTCTTACTTTGAGTCTGTGTGTCCTTTCTTGGAGACAATATATTGTAGTCTCATGTTATTTTATCCAATTTTCCACTCTATATCTTTTCTGTGGTGCATTTGTTTCATTCACATTCAGGCTAATTATTGAGATGTGAGAATTTAACCTTGTCTTGAGGTTCTTACAGAGTTTGTTGTTATTGCTGTTGTTTGTTTATTTGTTTGTTGTCTTTCTTTTGATTTTGGGGTTGATTTCTGTGTGTTTTCAATCTTTTTCCTGCATTCTTGGGAAGGGTGTTGTCATTCTTTTTTTTTCCTTTCTTGTGTGTTTAACTTTCATAGATATTTTTTGTAGAGTTGGTCTGGAGGCAGCGCAAACTCTTAGGGATTGAATGTC